AAAAAAAAAAACGTGGTTTCAAAGCCCCTTGTCCTTGATTTGTTGATTAGGAAAACTAGATGCAGTCTGAAGAGCCACTAAACGAATATATAAAGAGGATCAAGTTTGTTACAAAATTGTGAAAACTTCAAATTGTATTTTGTCCCAAATGAAGATATTCAGATTAAATTCCCAATTTGCATCCAAGTGCAAAGTTCAGAAATTCACCGGATTTAAATATATTAGAAACAAATTGATCAATATGTACATGTGTTTGAATTTAAGTTGAGAATGACCTCTTGCACCGCCCCCAAACTTGATAAAAGTCTCTTATAATCAGGGGGCGAATAGTGAGGGTATTGCGGCTAAACATGAAAAATGGAATTTTTGGGGGAGATTCAGCACTCCCAATGCATGTCAATAAATTTCTGTAGATATGCCTTAGCAATATGCAATATCTACATGACGTAATTTTCTACTGAAGTTTCAGTTGTTTTGTCTCAGTTTTATTTCGTCTATGTTTCACAAATATGTTCTATTTCGTCTATGGAGCAAGGATTAAACTGTTCTGTTTTTTTAAGTCTATAATCCACAGCTAGATACTTGCTACATTTTTTTTATTCAGTCTATTATAATACACAGCTTAATATTTTTCTATCTTCGTTTTATTTAGTCTTTAGTACAAAGATATATACTTTCTATCTTTTTTTTCTATTTAGTCTATAATACACAACACTGGTCTATCTTTGATCTGTTTCGTTTATAATACACAACACTGGTATCTTTGATTTGTTTCGTCTATAATACATAACACGGGTCTATCTTTGATCTATTTCGTCTATAATACACAGCACTGGTCTATCTTTGATCTATTTCGTCTATATTGCAGAGATTATTACTGTTCTATCTTTTTTCTGTTTAGTCTATAACACAGATAAACTCTGTTCTATCTTTTCTTTGATCTACTTCGTCTATATAACACAGATGAATACAGTTCTATCTGTGATCTATTTCACTTATTTTGCACAGATTAAAACTGTTCTATCATTGATTAGATTCGTATATATTTCACAGATTATTACTGTTCTATCTGTATTCTATTTCGTCTATAAAACTTGAGTTGAATACTGAATATCCTTTTCCTCAAATTTCCTGAATTTCTCAGCAAATGTTTATTCAAATATTTTATTTAAAGAGATGTATTTCTTCAAATAGATTAAACAAAATTGTTTATATAATTTTGTAAAAAATATTCTGTAATTAAATACGTGAAAATATAAAAGAAAAATTAAAAAAGCGAACAAAACATAGTAAAAAGAGAATAATGCGGAAAAAATAAAAAATATTTACAATATTAACAGACAAAAAATCTTAATTTTAGGATTTTATCAGGAGAGCGAGTCCAAATTTAGGAAAGAAAAATCGAACGATTAATTCGTGTAAAAAGTTCCCAGAAGCCCCCCCCCCCTCATAAATAACATTGTTTTAAACTCGATACATTTATTTCAAATCCGCCCTTAAAATGATTTAGTGCATTCAGTTATCATATAAAAACATGAGTTTTACGATATAGATCATTGGAAATGAAAATAAAAATGGTCGTAAATTTTAAAGATATAGATTTAATTTTGCTTAAGAATAAAATATATAAAAGTAAACCACTCCAATCTATAAAAGAAATTAAAGAAAGAATAAAATATGTGCGGCTATACTGGAGGGTTTATACGATCTTGTATCTTGTAAAACATTAGCTCTTCAGAGGCCGTTGTGGGAGTATCGTTAATTTTGAACGCTTGATCTCGATATCTAATTTTAATTTTGAGGATAAATAATTGATCCCTTAATCAAAGTTAAAAATACGAACCATCAAAAATTAATCTGTAGATCTGGATTAGATAGATCTGTATCTGTAGATCTGTATCTGTAGATAGAGATCTGTATCTGTAGATAGAGATCTGTATCTGTAGATCTGTATCTGTAGATCTGTATCTGTAGATCTGTATCTGTAGATCTGTATCTGTAGATTTGTATCTGTAGATCTGTATCTGTAGATCTGTATCTGTAGATCTGTATCTGTAGATCTGTATCTGTAGATCTGGATTAGATAGAGATCCCGAAATTAACAAAACAAAAGTTCTGATTTAAAAAATAAGAGTTATTAGTTTGAAAGCATAATGGAGTTCAATCTAAAATAAAGAATATTTATTTAATACTTAACACTTTTATCTCTTGTTCATTGTTCATACTTATTCTGCACAGTTCCAACAAGACTGTCTGATATTTGTTGAAACATCCTGTATTCACATATTCACATTTCAAATAGTGTTTTTTTAATTATTAAACACCCTGCAATGTTCACACATTGATAGATAAAATCCTAACATTTTGTTCTAAATTTTCGAACAGAATGTTATAAATTTAAAATATTTTTAACATTTTGTGCAAAATTTTGAACATAACATTGAAATCTTTCCGGTAATTTTTAGATATTAAGAACAAAATATTATTTTTTTTGGCAGAAATTTTATAAATGAAAAATATACAAACATATGTTTCGTTTATAAGACAACACATATGCTTGAGGAAACATGATAAAATCTATATATTCTTGAAAAACCTGTTTATCGTTTATTCTTGCATTTTATCTTTGGATGCTTAAAGGGACGGCAGATGTTATATCAAGGGACCTACTTTTCTTTAAGTAATATTTTAGATTCATTAAGCTATATGCCTGATCAAAATAAATGAACTATTCCAGATTTCTCTTTATAAAGGTTGGTCACTTTCAATTGTGTAGTATCTCAATTAACAAAAGTGATTTGCGCATTTCTGCTGCAGAGATAATGGATGTATTGACAGAACTAAATCCTTTACAAGCTGGAGAAAAAACGGAATCTTCTAGATTATCGACATATTTAAGGTTTCAAGGTTACCTTTGTGAATCGGACATTAGTTTTATCAAATAGAAGGTCCCTGGTCGCTTGAAATGACAATATATAGTTCCTTGAACTTTAAGAATTAATTGAAAAAGATTAGTAAAAGACAGATCATATTTTAGCAGATAGAGAACCATTTACCATAATTTAGAGTTAAGCACACTTGAAAATAAAATACTTCAAATAAATTTCAAAAATAAAGTTTTAATGAATTTTAATGATTATTTTTTTTAATGAAAGAAAATTGTACAGCATAGAACTTCAAATAAACTGATTTAAACAATCCTTTAATATTTTTTAACAAAATGTTCGCAAATTTAAAATGCGTTCGTCGGTAATTCGTTATTTCGTAGAAAATGACGGTTTTATCTTTTAGAAGCGGAGTGATCATAGTTTTGAGGAAACGATTTTGTTGAAAAAGCTCACGTTCAGAATCTACCAACCAACAATTATTGTGTACGAAGTAAAATATTTTCTAAATGCCTCCGGTAGAATATAATTTCTCTCAATATTATCCCGGACCAATTTATCTCTGCTAAATGAACTCATTAAAAGAGGGCGGGGATCATTAAGTTAACAAAACAACCCTCCCCCCTCATTGCACGATGCAACTTCATTCTTAAATGACTTAGCCACACAATTACCTGTAATTAATATCCTAAAATTTAATCAATTTTCATTCCATGGAATTTAATATCCTACGAAATTATCAACCGTAGAATTATTGTGGTTGATATTTCATCTTACAGCATCTGAAAACTACCCAGCGCAAATTTCTTGTGTGCGCCGCGTCAAATTCTTCAACCAAACCAAACCGTACTCGCAATCCTCCAAACCAAACCTAGTTTAGAATTGCAAGATGGCGCCCGGACAAGTATTTAACTAGACAGTTTAATTTCTCAGACTTCCCTGATCCTCATCTCTGCAACTTATTATGCATAATTAATCTTGATTCTACTTCAAATGATAATTAATCATAGCACCCCCGTCTAACCCTCACGCTCCTCCCTGACTTAATACTACTTTAATGTTTCCTAATGCAATCTATTACGACTGGTACAAGCCAAGTTTTGGCAAATATTTTAAAAAAAGTTGAATCTGAAGAAAAGTGTATCATTAAGAACAAAAATTTGCCGAAGGGTTAAAGTGTAAGTGTAATGTTAAGTGACCTCCATGCAAAGATTACAATACCTGATTCACAACGGTACCCTTGCCTGTATGAATTAAGATGAATTAATCTTTCTCATTTTTAAAACCTGATTATGGTAAATTGTGGGTTTTCTACAAAAGGGACCTGCATGGCGAAATTCTACTGCAGGAAAAAAAATCTCAGAATGGAATACTTTTAAACCTAGAAAAACTACAATATCTTCACCATTATTGATCAGATAAAGGTTTAAAGGGTCCCGTTGTGAATCGGTCATTGCCATCTATGAATGCATTGTCACTTGAAATTATGTAAGTCCCTTTAACAGATTAAAGAGGAAAGTTTTAAAAAATTTTAAATTGTGAGATTTTTAGCGAATTTCTTTCCAAGCCCTTAAATTTTGAATCTAGACACTACATACAGACAAGTTTATACGGATTTAAATTCTAGATTTATCCAACAATGAAATTCTCAAATTCTCAAAGAAACTGCTGGGTAAATGCAGTTTTAAAAACAGGTATAAGGTTAATCAACTTTAGAATTGATATAGCGAAAAAATTATAAAAAATATGAAATATTCCTGAATCGATTCAATTCCAACTCAAATTGTGTTCGCATAATTTTTCGTTTCACAACAAAAATATTCGAATTTCACGTTAGATCAAATGTTTTTAAACAAAGTTCTTCTTCTTTTTATGAACAAACAATTAAAATGCAAAACAATAAATTTTATTTGCTATACATTGCTGGAAAATCAAAACTACGTAGTCACAAGGTCGTACCAGAATTTTTTAATGTTTAAATGAATAGTTCATCATTATGTGAAAATTATGATTTCTCTATCATAAGCAAACAACAAGCTTTATCTATTAAAAACTGCTTAAAACAACATTTGTTTATGTTACCCTTTCTCCATTAATATTAGACATGTGATGTGAACAGCATTTTGTTTTGTAGAGAAATTATAAATAAAGCAAAAAGCTTCATTTCCTATATATTTGGTATAAACACTGTTAAAAGTGAACAGTGTGTGAATACTAAATCCATATCTATTAAGTAGTAAGTCAGTTTGTTTGTTTGTTTTCACGATCATAATTCGTGAATCCCTTAACCGATTTGCCTCAAATTTTAAAGCAAAAACTCCCAAAACTTTTTTTTTTTGCTTACAAATTGTCCAAAAATGTTTTAATTTAATTGGGCTATGCTTGAGTCTCTAAAAAACGTTGATTTTTGGGAAATGGTTTTTTGTTAAGGGGGGGGAGGGGGGAGTCGCTAAGGAGGGATACACCAAATTATACACCTTTTTTAACTTGCATATGTTTGTTGTGCTTAATTGTTAACTAATTCTGTTAAATTGGCGTGACCTAATGGGAATTATCTCTTTTAAACTTTTTCTTTTTTCTAATTAGATCTTTAAGACATTAAATTAGAAAGTGGTTGGCTTTAAAACATTGCTCATAATTATTTACAACCAATTTTGTAGGCAAAGTTGCTCGAGGGAACCCGTGGTTAATCATAATTTTTAATTTCCCGAAAAAGTAGTTGTATACAATTTTATCGTCTTTGGGAGATGCAAATGCGCTAACTTTTTCACGAAAACTTCGCAGAGCCGCGAGCGGGTCGTAAATTTACTTAATGTCACAAGGGACGTTTAAGTTACTTAACGTCCTTCGGCTGGGGAAATCATAGTTTGGTGATGTTGGTCAAAAGGTGGTAAAATATTTAATCAATTCCTTCTAAAATACCATAGCTTTTATGCATATACTTCTAAAACTATAATATCCTATTCAACGGTATACCTGAGCTATTATGACCTAAAAGTTAAAGTTCAGAACTAGGAATACCTTTTATATTCTTTAAAGCGTAAGCGTCATTTCAAGTTACCCTGTAAAGATGACAATGCCCGATTATCAACGGTACCCTTAATACCTTAATCTGATAAAAAATATGAAATATAATATAAAATAATGTAATAATAATTTATCCATGGTTCCTTATATGTAGGAATGCGCATTCGCAAGTCATTTTTGCAGAGAAATCAAAAATTAAAATAAACAGTTGAAATAAACAAAAACATTGGTATCCTATTCATATTTAATTAATCAGACAAAGCTTTTAAGGGTACCGATGTGAATCGGGTACTGCTATCTTAGAATGGATGGTCACTTGAAATTACGCTTACAGTCCCTTTTTTGTAAAAAGTTTAAAATTTCTTATTTCTCCTGAACAAGGAGTAATAAAACTATGGGAGTAGAGATGACTAAATTTTACTAGTTTTAAGCAATTAACTAAATTTATAAGCAAAGGTCCAAATTTTCCTGTTCAATCACTGGTTTTTAACTTAAGTTGGTTGACAATTAATTACAATCAAATTAGTTTTTTAGCTGCCCTATCAAGATTTATGTACAAAGGCTGAGACTTCAGAGACGACTGCACAGGATATATATTGTCCATTTCCTATTTGGATTCTCTGCAACTGTAAACTGGTTTCTTTCGTTGCCATGACAATATATAGGCCATTAAAAGACATTTTTCAAGATAAAAGACTTAATCTAACCTTGTAATCGTTATATTTTAGTTCGTCTTTATAGTCTCATCTTTTGTGGGTAACCCTTTATACTGTTCACTACTGCTCAGTACATGAATCACTAAATTTCTTAACTGAACTAACGTTATTTCTCTTATCTTTTAAGGGAGGAAAGATAACACAAAAGCATTGCATCTCTAACTATAAGTTGTGTACAGTGTACACACACACTCAATTAGACAGTCTCGTTGGACCAAAGGGGGGGGGGCTAAAATGAGAGCATAGAAATGGAGGGGGGTTGATAAGCATTCAGAATAATAAAAACTGCTTCAAATGAATTTGATAAAAAGTTAAGGAAAATAAATAATAAAAACTAGTGGAAAGTGCACTTATTTCTCCATAAAAGAAAATGTGAATATCATCGCTTTTAAAATTCATAAAACTCTTTTAAGGTTTCAAAATACATATATGCACTGCACATTGCATAGAAAAATAAAATCACAAAAAAAAGTTAATGTCGTGTAAAATGAATGTGAAAACAGCTTTTGAACAACCTGTATCAGTTAATCCAGCTTTATACATAAGTAGTCTAACTAAACAGTGAAAAAAGTTTCTGAGCTGTAAAATTGTGCATCTATCTATCTAACAATCTGATTATTACTTGTTATTTTACTACCTATAGCAGCCTAAATACCATCCATACACCTTGCTACAATTAGAGCAAACACAGCCCTAAATACATTCAACCAGTGCAAACAGAATATAATTCACAGAACCACAAATAATGATGTTTGATGGGATGATATACCTGAAATTCTTGCAACTAACAATCACATTTATAATTATACTTTGTGCTTTATAACTTTTCTAGTCACTGAATGTGTCGTGAAGTAATCCTAACCGGATGTACTTGATTGTTCACTGTTCCAAGTCGGGCGTTGATATCACCCAGCAGCAGCAACTGGCAGACTGGTTTCTCAGCCCGGCCGCAGTGCGGGGCGGCGCAGGGACTGCCTCAACCTATGCAGTCTACCTGCCCTGCAGCGTGTAGGGATAAATATTCCTCTTTTTTAAGAAAAAATTCGCACATTTTTCTTTGCTCTTCTGCGAATTAGTATACTAGTAAAGTGATTTTTTTCTGATAATGATTTTTATTTTTAAGGTCCGGGGGTATTTAAGTTTAATTTCAAGTACAGGGTGTCCCACGAAACATGACAGTATGCAGGACGACTTGAATGTCGTCTTGATTTTTGATATAATTTGCTGCGTTTATTTGTCCACCTAATTTTAGAAGTAAATTTCTAGATATAATAATCACAAAATTTCCCTTGTCTTGCCATTTCCAAAATGTGGTCTGCCTTTTTTGTGCTTTCAATATTGCCCGAGATATGAAGAATTTCGTTCAGATTTCGACAATTTTGCATTTATTCAACAAAATTGAAATCTGAACCAAACTCTTTATATCTCCGGTAATATTGAAAGCACAAAAAACGCAGACCACTTTTTGGAAATGCCAGGGCTAGGAGAATTATGTGATAATTGTTTCAAGAATCATACATGTTAAATTAGATAGAAGACTAAATGTCACAAATAAATTCAAATACCAAAGACGACTTTCAAGTCGTCTTGCTATTGTCATGTTTCGTCGGACACCCTGTATCTAGACGTTTTCTAATTGAAAAATACAGAGTGAGTCGTATAATATTGACCATTCATTTAAAGTCACCAAGAAGGTTAGCCCAGGAAAAAAGGTTGAAAAATAAAAAAAAATCTGGCTGAATTGAAACGATGCACCAAATTTTAATAATTCTATTTTTGAATTTAATTTGAACTGTACGAGAATTTTTTTGAATTTCCCATTGTTATTTGACACCCATGGGATTGTGATATAAGTTTTGGACGCGCCCATAAAGATCTGCTTTAAATCAATATTTCTTTCGAGCGAAAGTCAAGTTTCTGAGACACCTTCAAAATTAGATTATCCATGCCATGCAAGCACATTTTTAATGGGACACCCTGTGAACACCCGCTTTCCGGGTGTTTTTTTGTTCACCCTTTGGTCTCCTGGAGATTTCTCTGTAAGCTGGCATGCTGTGGACATCATGGTTACTGTACATTACTCTTCAGCATTCATTTATTTATTCATTGTGTAATTATTTGATTATTAATCAATTCATCGAAAATTAACGGAGGAATCCGTTAACGACCGGCAAAAACCATTAATTTTTAGACCGTTTACGAAACGGATTAGCCGTTTCAAAAAAAATAACAGTTGAAAAAGAAAACGGAACGGATTTTTAGAAAAAGTTGGAACGTCGTTCCCAGCCTTATTCATTGGACCAATAATTTATTAGTTCATTAATTTATCAAACCATTCATTCAATAACTTATCAATTCATTCAAACAGTAATTTATAATTCAATAAATTATAAACTCATGAATTCAATAATTCATTTAATTATTCACACACGTTTGCAGTAATAGCACAAAAATAATAAATATCCTTTAAAAGTTTGATATGCAGGGTCACGGTGTCCTAATAAACATTGTTTGATATGCACCGGGTGTACTAATAAAAATTGGGTTAAAATAATGTCAATTAAATAATAATAACTACACGGCCATGACCTTCCTTCTATATATAAATTTGGCTTGTCTGTCTGTTTGGGTGTTTGGGTGTTTGTTTGTTTGTTTGTATCCAATAAGCGTCAAAACGGCTGAACCGATCAGGCCCAAATTTTTTGTGGGACATCACGTCACCACAGGGATGGTTTATGAATCAACAAAATTTCAAATATTTGTCTCCATCAAAATTCTATCTTCATTAAATTTTTGAAAATTTTGAAAATCCACGAAATTTTTTTTGAAAATCCGCGAATTATTTTTGTTTTGTTTTACGATGTACACAAAGAGAACAATTAATTTAGAAGAGGCTAGTATTATTATGTTTATATGGCAAAAATTTCGAAAAATAAATAGCACGATCATGGCAGTATTGATCACTTTAAATTTTCAAAAAAAGTTTCCCTTTGTTTTTTATATAAAATTTCAGCAAAAATAGGAAATGTTTCTTAATTTTTTTCGGATATTTGATATAAAGATATAATTTTACGGCTTTGAAGAAAATGAAAGTAAGAAGTAAACCTTTGGTAAAGGATTTAGAGAAAAATTATAATTCAACAAAATCACTTATTTCACTGAGGTAGTTTCTCAAGTATGTAAACCTACTGCCAATTTCTGATGCTTCAGAAATTAATCAATCCTTTTCTGGGCTTCATCATTTCCTTTCCGTTTCTATCCCTGCTTCATCATTTCCTTTCCTTTTCTATTCCTGCTTCATAATTTTCTTTCCCTTTCTATCCCTACTTTTTATCATTTCCTTTCCTTTTCTATCCCTGCTTCATCATTTCCTTTCCCTTTCTATTCCTGCTTCATCATTTCCTTTCCCTTTGTATCCCTCCCTTCACTGCATTATATCATATCCCTTTCTATCCTACCTTTACTAAATAATTTCCTTTCCCTTTACTCGATTTACCATGGATCCTTTCCTTTTATTTTTTTCTCTTTATTTTATCACTTTTTTTATCATTTCATATTATACTCTTTACTACATCATTTCCTTTCCCTTTCTATCCTTTCTTTGCTTATCATTTGCTTTCCCTTTCTACCCTTCTCTTACTATATTATTTCCTTTCCCTTTCTATCCTTTCTTTACAAAATAATGTAATTTCCCTTTACTCGATTTACTAGATCATTTCCTTTTCTTTTTTTCTTTATTTTACATCAATTCCTTTGAAAAATTTAATTTTCAAAGCTAAAAAGTAAAACGAAAGCAAATATCTGTGAGTAAAGCGAAATTTTTTAGGGTTTAGGGGGTAGCGTTTTTATATCCAGTAGCGTTGGTATATGTATTAGATACAGTATATACACCTGACCTGTCAGGTTAAGAATAGAAGAATAAAACTTTAGGTGGAGCTAGATAAAATCAAAAACAAGGATTAAAGAAAGTTGAGATTTGTAATTGATAAATGATGAGCAAATCTGACTTGTTTTCTCCGGAGTAAATCCTTGTAATCCCTCACACTAAATCTATATCCGGTATCCCTCGCAATAAAACTATATCCGGTGCATATTCTGACCGGAAGTTGGATAATGTTTCCGGAGTTATCAAAACATCACAACAATGATTTGTCATGCTGTGAACCAGGAGAACCAAGGAGAACCTAGAGAAACAGGGAATCAAGAGAACCAGGAAACCAGAAGATCCAAGAGAACCAGGAGAACAAGGAGAACCAGGAGAACTAGGAGAACCAGACGAGCAAGTAGAACTAGAAGAACCAGAATAACCAGGAGAACCATAGAACCAGGAGAACCAGAAGAACATGGATAACCAGGAAAACTAGGAGAACCAAGAGAAGCAGGAGAACAGTAAACCAAGAGGAAGAACCCAGGATAAATAGAAGAGCCTGGAGAATCAAGGAATCAGGAGAACCAGGAAACCAGTAGAACCAGAATACCAGTAGAACCAGAATAATTAAGAGAACCTAGAGAACCAGGGGAAACAGAAGAACCAGGAGAATTAGGAGAACCTAAATAACCAAGGAATCAGGAGAACCAGAAGAACCAGGAAACCATGAGAACCAGGAAAACCAGAAGAACCAGTAGAACAGGGATAAACAGGAATACCAGGAGAATTAAGAGAACCAGGTGAACCAAGAGAAATGAGAGAACCAGGTAAACCAAGAAAACCAAGAGAACCAGGAGAACAAGACGAACAGGAAATACTAGGAAAACCATGAAAGCGTGGAGAACCAGGAGAACCAAGAGATCTAGGAGAGCCATAAGAACTAAGAGAACAGAGATAAACAGGATAACCAGGGGAACCAGGAGAACCAGGAGAGCCAAGAGAACCAGGTGAACCAGGAGAACCAGGAGAACAGGGATAACCAGGAAAAGCAGTAGAACCAAGAGAACAGGAGAACCATAAGAACTAGGATAACAGGGATAACCAGATGAACCAGAAGAGCTAGGAGAACCAGGGGAATCAGTGGAATCAGGGGAACCAGGGAACCAAGGCAACTGCAATGGAACCAGGCATACCAGAATAACCAGGGGAACCAGTAAAACTTGAAGAATCAGGAGAACCAGGAGAAACAAGAGAACTAGAAGATCAGGGACAACCAGAAGAATCAGGAGAACCTAGATAACCAGGGAATCGGGAGAACCATGAATCTAGAAAAACTAGGACAACATGTAACACAAAGAGAACCAGAAGAACCAAGAGAACTAGGAGAACCAGGAGAACCTAGATAACCAGGAATCAGGAGAACCAAGAGAACCAGAATAACCAGGAGAACAAGGAATACCAGGAGAACCAGGAGAATAGGGATAACCAGGACAACTAGGAGTACCAATAGAAGCAGAAGAACAGGAAGATCCAGGAAAAACAGGAGAACCTGGAGAACCAATGAATCAGGAAAACCAGGAAACCAATAATACCAGAATAATTAGGAAAACCTAGAGAACCAGGATAATCAGCAGAACCAGAAGAACTAAGATAATCAGGAGAACCAGAAGAACCAGGAGAACCAGGAGAGCCTAGATAACCAGGGAATCAGGAGAACTAGAAGAACCAGGAAACCAGGAGAACCTGGAGAACCAGGAGAACCAGGAGAACTAGGAGATTTAGGAGAGCCAGGAGAACAGGGATAAACAGGAAAACAGGAGAACCAAGAGAACCAGAGCCTGCGATTTAAAAGCTTCGGCTCGAGCCGTAATTCCTTAAACCCGACTTTAAGACCCAATCTTCGACCCAACTCTAACGACAGCTTGAGTCACGTGATTGACAGCTGCGAGATCTTAGGCTCGACTTAAGGAGTTAGGCCCAATGAAAATAAAACCGACCTTGGTTGGTTTTAGTGAAGAATAAGGCTCAATGTTGGGTCTTATTCTCATCAAAACCCGGAATGCACCAATTCCAACTATGAAAATCCGCCAACTACAACATTAAACCGGTTTTATGAACTAAACTCTGATGAAAATTAGATGCAACGTAAATCCGAAAGCCCGAGCCGTAAATAAGGCTCAACGACAGCTTAGACCCGAGTCGAATTTTCTTGAATTTTTTAAATCGCAGGCTCAGGAGAACCAGGAGCAGGAGAACCAAGAGAAATGAGAGAACCAGGAAAACCAAGAGAACCAAGATAACAGGGGTAACCATGAGAGCCAGGATCGAACCTGGAGAACCATAAGAACTAAGACAACAGAGATAAACAAGAGAAAAAAGTTAGCCAGGGGAACCAGGAGAACATAGAACACAAAGGGAACCAGGAGAACTAGAAGAACCAAGAAAACGAGGGCATTCAGGAGAACCAGGAGACCTAGGAGAACCAGGAGTAACAGGGGAACCAGGAGATTCAGGAGAACCAGGAGATTCAGGAAATCAGGAGAACTAGGAAAACCGGGAGAATCAGGAGAACCAGGAGACCCTAGATAACAAGGGAATAGGAGATCCGGGAAACCAGGAGAACCAGGAGAACTAGGAGAACCAAGAGAACCAAACAACCAGAGAGAAATAGGAACAAAGGTTTTCATTTCTTGAACACCTCAACACTACTTTTTTAAAGAATCTCCCTGTCCCAAGCTTCGACTTTCTGTGGTTTAAGCACGGGAGCAGCCGACCACAAAATATATTTCAAGTAGTTCTACCGCAGGCGGGTTTTACTAAGGAAACATAAAGGATGATTGTAAATATAAGGGGGGGGGGGGGATAATTTCATAATGACTTTTTTCCTTCCATACTTACACCTTCGGGTTTTTATCTAAAAGATCATTTCTTAAAGGAACTGTCGACGTAATTTCGAGGAACCCTTAATTTAAAAAAAAAAAAGAGTGGCATGTCCGGTTCACAACTGTACCCTTTAGCCTTTATCCGATTAACAATGAGCAAGATATTAGTGTTTGTCTATTGAAAAAAGTTGAATTCTGTTAATTTCCGTTTCTTTTTCTGAAGCATGCATAAATGTATAAGCCACTTTAAAGGGACTGTAAAGGAAAAATGAAAGGGGGTATAGGCTGAAAGCTAATCCCTTTAGCTCTTGATCGTGACCCATTAAAGTTTTATCTGATGTTCCTGTCTCGAGAAATTGATATACAACTTTGTCAAATTTATACGAAAGTTCATATATGTAAAATTTAGAAAATCTTAAACTTAAATCACGTGACCAGAACTATCACCAATGGCAGAGCAGTATACTGGTCACGTGTCTCCGCCTGTATCACGTGACCACTTTACTGAACTGCCATTGGTGGAATTTCTGGTCAAGTAATACGGACGTATAAATAATATTATGAATTAAATCTATTAAAATAGAAATAACAAATATAAAATTAGAATTGGAGTAAACCTAAGTTACAATTAGCTTTCTCTGGGATATCATTGTTTTTAGATTGGTTGCATATTTTCTGAATTTGATCTTTTTAAACCCACTACTTTTATACAAAATTGTATATATATTAATTTTCGTATAAATTTGACGTAGTTGTATATCAATTTCTCGAGATAGGAACATCAGATATAACTTTCATGAGTCGCGATCGAGAGCTAAAGGGATTAGCTTTCAGCCTATACCCCCTTTCATTTTTCCTTTACAGTCCCTTTAAGAGAGAAACCGCGATGTAAAATAATCATCATTTAGTTACAGGTTTACACACACCGTATGAGAATTAATTATTAAGGGCGACTTTACTTTTTAACTTTTTAAACTTTTTCCTCATTAAAGTCTCATTATATGTGGATAACCCTTAAAAAATAATGAAACCTCATTCATCCTGAACAGACAGTATTTGTGGTGCAACTATTTGTGGTGCAACGCCCCTCTGAGAACTATGAATATGAAAATTCAGGAAAATTAAAACATATTAAGCTCTAAGGCTTCATTCTTGTTATTTTACAACTAAGGCGTGAAAAAAATCCACCCTTTAGAAATGACCCAGTTTCGCCACTCAGCTCTGTGGCATGTTTATTGATAGAAGTAATGCTAACAATTTAATTTAGCCAGCAATGAATGGCGGTAATACATTTGGGATTCATCATTCATGTAATGGAATAGAAAGATTACAAAGAATAATTAAATGGAAAAATTAATAGAAAAAACATAAACTGTAGAGATGATCTGTTATTGTCAAGTTCCAGATGATACAAAACTTTGATGACCATGCATAAAATCCCCGATATTTGAAGCTATATTTAAATTCATAACCCCCCCCCCTTCATCCATGTCTCCCATACTCCGGTTTCATCCCTCCCCTCCTCTCCCCCCTTCCTACCCCACCCGATCCATCCTTTTTAACGAAAAGATCATGTTACAATCTGCTGTCTATTGATATATCGGGTTGGGGGGGGGGGATGAAGGGGGGGGGATTCAGTGGGAAATGTGATCGGAAAAAATGGGGAAAAGGGTAGTATTCGTGTTGAAGAATGGGGAGGGGGGGGGGGGAACTGAATTTGAAATTGAAATCGTCTCAGATTAATGTGAGTGTTATCAGGATTTTGGAAAAAAATATTGAAATCTAGTTGGGTTTAATGTTAAGGATGTTTGTGTGGGGTAGGGTTAAGGGAGTTAAGGAAATGAAACGGGGAAAGGGGGTGGAAAAGGGGGGAAATGTACATTATATTATACATGAACGTTTATGAATTTTTTAGCTAAATTTAGCCATTATATCAATACAATGAAGACGACTTTCGAATTAAATTTTGATATAAATTAAGCTGTCAAACATCATGGATACACAGAAATAAAAACATAGAAGTCAAGAGAATTTATCAATTAAAAAAGCTTCTCTTTGATTATCTGTAAACTTGTAATTTGATAAAAGCTTGTTAACAAGCAAAACTGAAATAAAAAACTCGTCTTTATTGTAGTGATATAATCGCTTACACTACATATATTTCTGATAAGCAAAACGCAGATTATTTTTCATTTAATTGCTGAAATTGTTTTGTGTTTTGAACATTCCTCGGCAGCTTGAGTTGGGTTTAAAAACTGAAGTTTTGAACTTTTTGAAAAATGTTGGTGGATTTTTTATATCTGCAGTTTCTTGGCAGAATATTTTTGTACATATTCAAAAATGCATGTTTGGTGTTTTGACGTTCAAAAGTTCAAGACTTTAATCTTTTACCAAAAAAAAAGAAAACTTGTACAATTTTTATTGAAAAATTAAAAGCCATAAATCTTTAATGTTTATAAAAAACTGATTAAATTCACTGTCATACTTTGTACATGGTGTACGACGAATACGACGTATTCAAATTGTGTCACAAAAATGATATTTACGAATGTCCAAAATGAAATATAGCCAATTTACAATCAACTAGAGCCCAATTTTGGAAGATTTATGATCAGGTTATCCCCCCCCCTTCCTTCCACCCTAGGCTCTCATTTTCTGATGGTTTCAAAATTCCCATGGTTCATTGTATTCACGAACATGAGAAATTTCTTATTTACTGCCCTGGGCATTTTAAATAATTCACATTTTATTACCCTCTACACCCAATTTACCCCCCCTCACGCACCCAAATCCCCCTCACGCCCCTGGCACCCACTGATATAACCTGCCCCTTTCGCCAGAAAGAATATTTGAACCATCGTTTAATACTTTTTGGAGACAAAGCGTTATTTTAATTGTCTTTAAGTGATCTCCATGCAATGATGGCAATGTCTGATTAACATAGGTACTCTTAAAAGTATAATGAGTTAGATATCCATGTTTTGTTTTGAAAACAGTTTATTTTATTATTTTATTTCTCAGGAAAAGTTACATTTCTGTTGTTTAAGAAAAAAAGTAGAAATTATCAGAATTAAACACTTTTCCAGACAAAAAAGACGATGTTCGAAGGTTTCAAGGGTTTTGATCGAGAATTGCCACTTTTGCATGGAGGAATACTTAAAATCACGCGAATAGCCTTAAAGTCCCTTTAAGTTGGTATAACTTATAAAGACTCTCTAGGCTCAATCTCATGAGGACCCAGTGTCGCAGCGGCTAGAACAGTTAGAGCACAAAAGAATATTCTGAAATATGAAGTAAATATATATTTCTATCATTTATCAATACTAACTTTTTATTATACTATTATTTATCTTTCCACCTATTTATCTATCTACCAAATTTTATCTATCTATCTATTTACATTACATATTTATCTATCCATCTTTTTATCTATCTATCTATTTATCTATCTACCTATTTATCAGGAGTTGAATTGCATAGAAGAATATGTTGAAGGTTTTCAATATATAACGCAGGAAGAAGAAGAAGAAGAAGAAGAAGAAGAAGAAGAAGAAGAAGAGTGGGATTTGTTTAACCCTATTCCAATAATCGATACATGGGTGTAACATCTTGCCAGGATTGTCATAATATATTTCAGAGCTTCAGATAAAGAGAAAACAGTCGCCATTTTCTCCGCCCACCCCACCCCCACGAAAAAAATATGAGGGGGGGGGTAATCATGAAGAAGTAAAAATAATGCAGTTAAGACAATTGAAGATGATAATCACGAGGAAATAAAAAAAAATAATTATCAAGAAAAAGCGGAGAAAATAATGGTTAATGACTTAATGAGTTAGAACATTTGGGAAATATGGAAAGCAAATAAAAAAATAAAAAAAATAAGAAAATAAGAAAATAAGAAAATAAGAAAATAAGAAAATAAGAAAAAAGAAATAAGAAAATAAGAAAATAAGAAAATAAGAAAAAAGAAATAAGAAAATAAGAAAATATTAAAATAAGAAAATAAGAAAATAAGAAAACAAGAAAACAAGAAATAAGAAAACAAGAAAACAAGAAAACAAGAAAACAAGAAAACAAGAAAACAAGAAAACAAGAAAACAAGAAAACAAGAAAACAGGAAAACAGGAAAACAGGAAAAGAAGAAAAGAAGAAAAGAAGAAAACAAGAAAACAAGAAAACAAGAAAACAAGAAAACAAGAAAACAAGAAAAGAAGAAAAGAAGAAAGGAAGAAAAGAAGAAAAGAAGAAAAGAAGAAAAGAAGAAAAGAAGAAAAGAAGAAAAGAAGAAAAGAAGAAAAGAAGAAAGGAAAAAAGGAAGAAAAGAAGAAAGGAAAAAAGGAAGAAAAGAAGAAAAGAAGAAAAAGAAAAGAAGAAAATATGAAAATATGAAAATAAGAAAATAAGAAAACATGAAAATATGAAAATATGAAAATAAGAAAATAAGATAATAAGGAAATAAGAAAATAAGAAAATAAGAAAATAAGAAAATAAGAAAATAAGAAAATATGAAAATATGAGAATATGAGAATATGAAAATATGAAAATATGAAAATATGAAAATAAGAAAATAAGAAAATAAGAAAATATGAAAATATGAAAATATGAAAATATGAAAATATGAGAATATGAGAATATGAAAATATGAAAATAAGAAAATAAGAAAATAAGAAAATAAGAAAATATGAAAATATGAAAATATGAAAATATGAAAATATGAAAATATGAAAATATGAAAATATGAAAATATGAAAATATGAAAATATGAAAATATGAAAATATGAAAATATGAAAATATGAAAATAAGA